ATTTGGCGATTCTATCCCCCACATAAACAAGCAGTGACGTCATAGTGAAATAAGGCAATTTAGTCCCTGWGGATGTCGTAGACTGGCAAAAGCTTGGGCTAGATTATCATTTAAGCCAATAATTTTATTATTATGCCAATGAACATAAGAATTCTCAAGGAATCAAGGATATATTGATCAACGTACCAACTGAACACCACAAAGAACTTCCAGCAACTGGAGCAAATTTTCTCCATCTCGAAGTTCTTCGTACAAATCAAGGATTCTTATGCGTCTCTGCAAAAAAGGAAAAGACATAAATATAGAACGTCAAGTGTAGAATAATTTTGCTTATTATGATAGAAGATGAAATTAATCAGCATGTCACAGTGACAGCAAGGCAAGTCAGAACAGCATCAAGTCAGAACAGCATCAAGTCAGAACAGCATCAAGTCAGAACTTGGTCACTAGTGTAGAGGAGGGGGCACTGGGGCTCAGATTTTTTAAGTTCGCTTGCTTTCACAGAGACAAGCTGAATAATTTTTTCTCCATAAATATGATGTATACAAAGATGCTGTACAAAATATAGACAGTCCTCTCACCAAGGTACTAAAGCTTGAAGGGGGAGAAATAATACGATTGCATGAGTTTCAAATGTACTATAATTTAACTCAAARTGCAGTGACTGGTAAGAAAGCTTGGAATAGGTCTCTTGAATAGAGTTGAAATTAACTTTACTTCTTGAATTAAAAGCTAAAACAAGATGTAGCAACGACACCAGTTAAATGCTAATTTCTCACAGCATTTTTCATGACAGCCAGCCAACCATTRAACAAAGAAATAATACTCTAAGGAAAGACACCTGAACTTAAATTGGAAAACATTCTCCCCAAGCTAAAAGGTAGAGGTCTATCAAAAAAWAAATGTTTAAAGGTGTTGCAAGACATCTGAAACACTATTATTATTCTTTTAGAATTGAGTATTCTACTTTGTTATAATGCACTAAAAGAGCTTGGTCAAAAACAAAGGCATTCAGTGGGAGCTAATGGAAAAAATGCTTTGAATCAAGCTAAGTGATATAAACACTGAATTCTTCATAAAATWATCTTTTTATCATTTTTCTTGGAACATTTTATTTGATGGAAAAACATTTTATTTTCAAAATACAAAATATCTGATAAGAATTTTATAGTTTTCATGGTTAAATTACAAAAGTTCCCAAAGCATAGGATTAATTCTTTTAGACAAAGGATAAGATAGGAAACAGAAATCTATGTTGCTATAGTGATTACTGCACATGGAAGTCTCAAATTCAAAAGATAAATCTATGATATAATACACTCCCAAATAAATCTCAAAGCGTCTAATAGCAGCACCTTTTCTACTGCCATTCTTCATTTATATGGAGAGCCTTGTTTTTAAAGAATTAATTTATCTATTGTTTTCAAAGGCTACGAAGATTAACCTGTAAAAGGGAGACACAAAAGCCTGTGATAATATCTATTGGAATTATACTTTTTTGGCTATTGATAAGAAAATTTTAGTGCATTATTCTATGAGGCATGGATAATACTCTGGTTGATATCAAAAAAACCCTTTCAAGCATTGTGGTATATTCAGCATGTGAATTATTTGTTTTAGGAAGAAGTAAAATCGCTGGTGAAATTGTGTAATTTCTTTTTTGGCTTACAGTACAAAGTCAAAATTCA